AATAATAATAATAATAATAATAATAATAATAATTCGTCGATCACGAAGTACTGATCATCTTTGACATGAAAAGAGAAAGAGAAGTTACAGACAATGAAATATGAATAAAATTCATTTTTAAAATAATAATAAATTGGACGTACGTGTCCGCTGGGGTTCCTTGAGTTAACACAAGATTTCTCATACTGAGACATGTACCTATTTCTCGTAGTCCCTGTCTACTGATTATCGGCTTACGCCAGATTAGAAGCCTTTGTCTTTTGCGTCTCTGTCTCGCCGTGTTTTACATGTTGAACTGCGACATGCATAATGGCTCTAGTTAAGTCCAGTTTCAAACTATCAATTAATTGCAGTCTTTATTTGACCGTCGGTTTGTCACTAGTAATTGCTTACGCTATTTACTTAATAGTGTTTCAAATTGATTGTTTTTCTCGGTACCCGAAAAATTTTTGTGTGATAATTCCTAACACTTTGATCCACAAGGTACACATTTTAAAATTTAGTATTTTTTGGTACAGTCAAAAAGAGGACAAAATTATCTTTCTTTTGACATCAATTTCAAATGGATATGCTTACATTTTACGACATGAACAGTAGTTCAATATTGAAATGCCTCACTGCAGCTGTCGGAGGCAAAATACCGAGATACATATATTCACATTCAAAGATTTGACTAATATCTGTATTGTAACAAACACCTTTGATAAAACTGCTGAAATCAAATTTATAAGCAAATTTTACAATAACTCTTTTTACCTATTCTCGTGCAGATAAGTCATTAAAGGGAGTATTTAAAAAGCAAAAATTGGATTGCTATTTATCATAGACTGATCATCGGCTTACGCCAGATTAGAAGCCCTTGTATTTTGCGTCTCTGTCTCGCCGTGTTTTACATGTTGAACTGCAACAGATGTGTTTGCGTGCAGAGCCGTCGGAACGAGTCACATATTATTGGACGGAACACACCGAAAGAACCTTACATTCAAACTCTCTCATTACTCAGCATTGCCCGGAACTTTCACCGGCTCCCGTGCATTCCCCTTCAACCCTACCTTTCAGAAAGGAGTCAGTGGTGTAGCGGTAGGCGCTTCACTCTCGCACGAAGGAGACCCAAATTCCATCCTCGATTAGGGAGAACTTAGAGAAAATTTTATCGAGTATCTCGGTCTTTCTGCTGGGACGTTAGATCCGTGTCAGCCCGGGTTGGCCTTAACAGACAGGGTCGGAGACTGGCCTTGTAGATTATCTAAACTGTGTCAATGGGGACGTAAGAACACCTTCATAAAAACACTCTTAGAGATAAACCCATACTCAGCTAGGGGCTTATCTCATCCCATATTATCTTATCTTTTTCCAATCAACGATCAAATCACAAGATTCCTAGCTGAGATAACGTCATGAAGTAATATTCCAACAAGGCAAATCAAGGAATGGATTTTCCAAAAAGATGCTCACCTGTACACTAGGGGAACGAGAACGAGAGGGGCGATGATATAGTACATCATGTCGTTGGATAAGAACCAGGTAACTCCAATGCACTGCAAAAAGAGTGACAAAGACCATTAGTAGGAAGAGGTTAGCCTTAGCCAGCTAACGAGACAAAAGTTAGAAATCAAGCCAAAACTGACACTGAATACTCTCGTCTCTTATCTTAAATTACAGTCAAACCTAATCTAAAGGCACCCTGTCCTAGACAACCCTATGCACAGTTAAGTAGACCACTTCCCCACCTCCCCTCTTTTACGTTCTTGATTACAATGACATTGTCCTAGACGACTATCTGTTCGAGACGACTATCTGTACAAGACAACCACCGTTCTCCTCTAAAATAGGAGAGTGGCTGTCTTGCACAATTTCGGCTGTATAATTTATATTCTCGTAAAATCATTCAATCTAAATTGTGTCGATGAGAGCGTAAAACGGCCTACATATTGAAAATAAATATTATGTTGACTTTGTTAAGTGACAATAACTCAGACTCTGTCCATAGCAGCCACGTTTCTGTACTGTCATTTCTTCTATGATGTTGAGTCACTCTTATGGACAGGTTCGTTTACATTTGTTATGCGCTTTAGTGAGTGTGTGTGGGATTGTAGTCATGTTAATATATACCCTGTTTTCTTTTATTTGTTGGAAGCTGTGGTGCTTCTTGTTGGGAATATAGTGTAAAAGCACCGGTAACACTACTGAGAGAGAGACAGAGAGAGAGAGAGAGAGAGAGAGAGGGGGGGGGGAGGCAAAAAACAGAGAGTGAGAAAGACAGACGGAGAGAGAGGGAGGGAGGGAGCACATTAAGGAGACAGCAAATTGGAAGAAATTAAATACCCACAGAGGCGGTGAAAGACAGCGTATTCTCTTGTCATTTACTCATTATAATTGTAAATATTGATCGCATGTCACCGTCTTTACGAGTATTGAGCATTGATCGATTGACCAATGAATTGGCAATAATGGCTGCCATACCTACCCCCAGTGCGTCGGGGTATACGCTGTTGATGTAGAGCAGGTTCACCCACCAATTGTCCCGGCAGGATTGAGCAGTCTGGTAATCATTCCAAGCCGGGCGTCCCTCTCCGATATATTGGATAAGAGTGGCCACTATCATTAGCCAGATCATCATTGGTGGGGTCAGCCTGAGGGTAGGTTGAAATATTGGCTAAATTCAGGATCTTTTACAAGTAGATTTTTTCTCATTCATTCCTTTGTGCTGTACGTTATTTTCTCTGTAGCATTTGCTTCACATGGTTTGGATGTTTTTATCTACGATTCATCACTATCGACAAAAGTGCACTTTCTGGCCATTGAGTCTTATGTTCTCATAGATCTTGCTATTATTTCGTTGCTACTTATGGTGCGCTTGCATCTCTCTTTTCACTGCTTATGTATATGATTTATAATGGTCATATTGAAGACATCTATTTATTTCTTTTTAGAACATCTCAACTTGCGCTATGCGAACTAAATTTTCCATGCCTCTCATGAGTTCTAAACTTCCATTTCAGAACCAATATGAGTTTTTTACAATACTTTTGAACATCTCATCATAATCTGTCAATGAATAAAAAGACGAGAAGGGGTGGGGGGTGGAAGCTGGAGGGAAAGAGATGGAGAGGGAAGAGAAAGAAGAGGAGGGTAGAAGGACATTGAGAAGGAGAAAAAGAAAAGCCTTGACAAAGATATGGATAGTGCGGAAGGGGGCGAAAAGATGAAGCAAGAGAAAGAAGAAGAAGAAGAAGAAGAAGAAGAAGAAGAAGAAGAAGAAGAAGAAGAAGAAGAAGAAGAAGAAGAAGAAGAAGAAGAAGAAGAAGAAGAAGAAGAAGAAAAAGAAGAAGAAGAAGAAGAAGAAGAAGAAGAAGAAGAAGAAGAAGAAGAAGAAGAAGAAGAAGAAGAAGAAGAAGAAGAAGAAGAAGAAGAAGAAGAAGAAGAAGAAGAAGAAGAAGAAGAAGAAGAAGAAGATGAAGAAGAAGAATAAGTAGAATGAGGAGGAGGAGGAGGAGGAGGAGGAGGAGGAGGAGGAGGAGGAGGAGGAGTTTAACGACAAAATAACGACAGTGGTGTCAATATTGACAGGGACAATGACAGTGACGATAATAATATAATTAATATTATCTATTTTTTATAGTAGAGGGTTTTACGGCACTCGCAACTGCATAAGATCATATGAGCCCCAAGGAGTGGGTGTCAACAGAGAAGTCTTCACAGGGAATCAGACTTACTGTGCTCACCTCTCTAGCTTCAACAGCACAAAGTCTGCTTCAACTATCAAGGCACCCAGAAATAGCAGGTCACAAGAGAGTGACAAACATACAAAAGAAGTAGAGGAAAATGACGATAGTAAGGATTAGGAAAGAAAAAGCAGCAATTCCCTGTTGTTGATCAGGCACAGTTATGAACGTGACATAAATCAGCCCATTTACAATTCTACTGTGCTTGAACGAGAAATGTCCCCCCTTTGGGAATGGCCAAAAGACACTACAGTCAGTGCCACTGCCCCGGAGGGTGAATATTATATATCACAAAATAACACCAGAAAGGCAGACATAAACAACATCGATGATGAAGATGAGGATGATGATGATGAGGATGATGAAAACTGTTTTGTTGACGGTGTTTTTGATGATAGTTATATCACATTCACCTACCGCCAATATCTGTGCACGTAATAGAGGATCATAGTCTTGCCTTTCACCATCATCTTGGGGCCACATTCCTTCATGAAGAGGTAGGCTGTCAGAAAGCCGCTGTAATGGCATACAAGAGATTTTTTTCCCAACAGTTCACATTGACTAAACATTGTTAAAAGGGTCAGCAAAAGCTTGTCACTTTTTGCTGTTGGTTTTTCGTTACATATATTATTACAAGTTTGGGGTTAACTGACATCGACCTCTTTCTCGAGTAATGTTGGTTTATATTCGTTTCAATAATAATAATATTATCTAAAACAAGAACAAGAATAAAGTATCTTTACGGATACATTAACCCGTGTTGGTGTTGGAGTTACTGTTGTTGCCGTTGTTGCGTTTCTTCTGTCGCTGTTGATTTTACAACCGGTCATAATATTCTCGTTATGTTGATAATGTAGCTATTGATGTCTTCATTGTTGATAATAGTACTAATTTTTGGTAATACTACTGTAGCAAGTGGTTATGTTTGTTTGTCATTTGCCCCTACCTGCTATTTCTTTTGCACCATTGTTGGCGGGCTGTTGTTGTTGTTGTTGCTGTTGCTGTTGTTGCTGTTTGATTGTTATTATTTGGCATTTGTTACACCTGAAGGCTATCTCGCTTATTATAGGACCAAATCTTACCAAATTTCACACATATAACAGGCATAGTAAGGAGTCGTAAAATCCTCAATCAAATTTGAGGAAAAAGTTTCGTTTCCATGGATACGGCGGCGATATTGGATTTTGTTAAAATGTCTTATGCTTACGTAATGAGTACCGCACTTGTTGCTTATGGAATTTTTTTTTTTTTTGGCATGCGTGTTAACAAACATTAGATCTAAAAATGTGTTTGTTGTTTTTTTCCTTAACGAATTAGAAAGAATTTAATGAATTTTTTCCTGAGGTAGCATTCAAGTTAGCAAAATATCCGTGAAAATCCACACTGCAGACACCACCAACAAAAATCTATTCCATATATCAAAAAATCAATTGACTCATTTTTAGTATTACATGTTCTCTTCATTCTGTAAGGAAATTGTGGTGACAAACATGCCTGGCATGGGGAAAGCATACGGTAGAGGCTGAGGAAGCTAAAAATTCCTACAACTTAAATTTCATAATTTTGAGCCGAATCTTGACTTTGGGGGTGAAGACCCCCCCCAAATTCATTTTTATTCACAGCACTTGTGTTAATAATTATGAATCCCCTCATAAGCCTATAGTATACCAAACTAGGCAACGAAAGTCACTGTCTTTTATGTTTGGTTCAGTTGAAGCCTGTTATGTAACAACAAGTTCTGGATTTAAGCGGGACATTATATAAATGAATATACAACATTTAGCAAGACTAAAGTAAGTACAGTACAAGGACAAAACGACATACCTCATGAAAAAGAATGTGTCCACCGCGAGTGGAGCGTTCAGAATGAGCTGGAATGGTAGAGTCGTCTCCAGCGCAAAAACGTCCAGCGTGTTTACTGTTTGTGAGAAAGATTGAAACAATAGTAATATTGGCAAAGAACTTTACATAGTATTGCGTCTAAGGGTGTTCATTATTGTTATGTTTTTATTTATTTATTTATTTATCTATTTATTCATATTTTTATTTATTCATTTATTTATTCATTCATTTTTTAATTTATCTTTTTTTTTTTCTTTTTTTTTGGGGGGGGGGCGTGTGGGTATTTTCTCTGCTGCTGTTGATGCTAAATAGCAATTATAATTCTATTTGCATACATTTTATCATTGAAAATACGTTATTATTATTACGTTTTTAGTTTTTAAGTGTTTGTCTTCTTGTTCTTTTTTAATCCCTGATCCTAGTGTTGTTGATGCAGTAACCATCGATGATAGCTACCATTTGTAGCGGTTGGTAAATCACATAGAGCGTGTTGTAGAGTGTGGATATGTGTTATATAAATGTAATTGTCATTATGAATATTACTGTTATTATTTTTATTATGATATTCACGGGAGTGTCTAAAAGGCAATGTTTATTTAGTGCAATGTTTTCCATGGAAGGGTGGTCATAAAACGAGGCAATCAAAAGATGGTACTGGGCATGCCGAGGAAAAAAAACATGTTTGACGAAGTTTACAACGATTGCCCTTTTGGTTCAAATTGAAACGGTACCAACTTGAGGGTTTTTTTCGTTTACAAAATGTAAATGATTTGCAGCATTCCCAGTGGTTTTGGAAAGCTGGGGGGAGAAGTGAACTCTGGCGGGACTTGTTCTTTCTTTTTATTTCTTGGAAGGCTCTTATGCTACATATTTTTGTTTCGGGTGAACATAAGAAAAGAATCTATTTCTCAATGTTCTTTTTTTCACTATTTCAAAAAGGTATAGAATAAAGCATTTACTATGTAGCTTAATTGGTGCTTGCAACAGCAAAGCGAAGGAGAAGTTGCAATGTGTGCTAAAATTAAGTTTATAAGATATCACAGAAAGTTGACAACTTGAAGCTTTCTGTATCGAGCTAACAATAAGCGAAAAAAGTCCCCAACCTCCTTCACTCCTCTCTCTCTCTCTCTCTCTCTCTCTCTCTCTCTCTTTCTCTCTCTTTCTCTCTCTCTCTCTCTCTGTTTCTCTCTTTTTCTCTGTCTATTCACCTCAAGCATCCCCCTCCCACTAAATTTTACAGTACCCTTTGTCCTTTAAAATATTTCGATTGCAAGTTAGGACTTCTAGAAATTATGACTTAGGGACGAACAATATCCATCAGTGTGGGCTTCCCATAGCACTGCAGGTTGCGACACACTGAAAATTTAACTCTTATTTATTCTACCAAAACCCCTTAATTCTGGCAGTGGCAAAAATGAAGAGAAACTCACCAAACGTTCCGCCAAACCCTAACGTCATGATGACGTGTCCCAGGATCACCCAGGCCAGACTCAGGACCCGGATGCCATGTAGACAGCCGATGTTCCCGTGCCCAGCTCGAGTGCTCAGGATCCTGCCAGTATTTCTCGGGACAGAGAACGCCAAAAGAGCTTTCTGCCACACACGCAGTCCATCTGGGTGGGAGGTAGAAACAGAATTTAATATAATACTACTTTTGTGTGTGTTTGGTGAGTGTGTGTGTGTGTGTGTGTGTGTGTGTGTGTGTGTGTGTGTGTGTGTGTGTGTGTGTGCATGTATCTTTCTTTCTCTCTATCAGTCAATCTATCATTATCTGTCTAACCATCTCTATATCTATTTCTATCGACCACACACTTCGGTACATCGATCAAACTCGCCTTTCTCTTCCACTTCCTACCACGTCGCGTCATTGTAGCCACAGGGTTTGTCTTTTACCTCAACGTTTTGCCACAACTGAGGTGCACGCTACACATTACCGACACAGGTGTCTCGAGCACTGTGTCAAAGGCTCAAGACACACTTTGTCACATGAGGTACGGTACCCACTACACATTACACTGGGAAACAGACAGACAGACAGACAGACAGACAGACAGACAGACAGACAGACAGACAGACA